GACGAATCGAATGGTGGTAAGCTCATCTCTCTGTGATCAATATTGACGGAGTTACTACTTAAAAACCATTTAATATTTTTTAATTTCGGAAATTGATCTAGTGATTGGATTTCGATGTATCTTATACCATTAGAACTGTCTCATCAAGACGAATCGAATGGCGGTAAAATCGTCTCTCTAGGATCAATATTGGCAGAGTTATTACACAAAAACCATTAATATTTTTTTAATTTTGTAAATTAATCTAGTGATTGGATTTCAATGTATTTTATACCATTAGAACCGTCTCATCAAGACGAATCGAATGGCGGTAAGATCATCTCTCTACAATTAATATTGGCGGAGGTACGATACAATAAAGTTTTGAGTATAATTTTGGCTAAAATTATATTAATTTTTGGCCGGAATTATGATATACTAATATAAGAAATTTTTTATATAGTCACATCTCTTTATAATCACCAAATATGGACTGTCCAAGTGTGTGACTATAAAGAGAGTTGACTGTAGTATCAACAGTATATTTGATATTTTTGGCAAAAAATTATATAAGACAAAAAATCTTTTACTTATAGATGTTTTTAATGAATTGTGTGAATCTTTAAAATCTGGAGTTGAATATGCATTAAATGGATTTGTGAAGTGGATAAAAGTTTGAATCCATTTACTATTAAGTGTTTGCAGATTGGATAGTAATTATAAATTAGATTATACTTGCATATTTTTACATGTATTTTATTTTCAATCTGAATTGAATTATCTTATTTTACAAGAGAAATTATACATTAAATCTTTGCAAGAAGATATAATAAATAATAATAAAAATATATTTGGGTTGCTTGAAGCATTATCTGACCAAGATTTTTTTGAATAATTTGATAGTTTTGCAAGCTCAAATAGGAAAGAACTATGGAAATAATTTCTATTAGTTTATGAATTTATAAAGTATCAAATTTATAGTGTTGTAATTTATTAACAACAATTTAAAGGTTTATTTAATTGCTATAACATTAAGGTAGATTTAAATATAAGCATAGAACTTTACATCAGGAAATTTGTTTAGGCGTAATTTAGTGTAATATTTCAGAGGTGATGTAAAATTTCGAAATATTACACTAAAAACGTAATATTACAAAAGTTTACACTCTTAAATTTGAATAATAATAGTAATTTAAGAATATCTCGCTATCTACTGATCCAATCAAGACGATCTATAGCTCATTGGAATCAGCTCATCAAGACGAATCGAATGGTAGTAACATCATATCTCTACATATGATAGATGACTTTCTATTAATTTAAAACTTTATTGCATACTATAAAGCGTTCTATCAACTGTAGAAATGCGATTTTACTACCATTCGATTCGTCTTGATGAGCTGATTCCAATGAGCTATAGATCGTCTTGATTGGATCAGTAGATAGGAGATATTCTTAAATTACGATAATTATTCAAATTTAAGAGCGTAAACTTTTTTAATATTACGTTTTTAGTGTAATATTTCGAAATTTTACACCACCTCCGAAATATTACACTAAATTACGCCTAAACAAATTTCCTGATGTAATAAGCATGACTTCAGATTTCTGGTTTAAATGGTAAAATTGAAAAAATAAATTCTAATAGTAGTAGTGTACCGTATAGCGCTGCATACAGTACCCCTTGTAATAATACCCCTTCAAATAGTATCAGGGTATTATTTAAATTCACATTTAGGTATTTTTTAAAAATACTCCGGTACTAATCAAAATTCAATTTTGAATAGTACCCAGATACTAATCATATTCTGACTTAAAACTAGTCAAAATGTATGTACTAATTTATTTAATTATAATAAAATCAATGTACCCCCCCTTCAATATACCTCCTTTTAATAGTACCTTCTCCTATAGTATCATCCGAGTATTATTCAATCTAAGTGGACTTTCTTAAATAGTACTGGAGGTACTATATATATGCAGCACTATATGGTAAAGTTAGAAAATGAACAAGTATAAGATATTTTGAATAGTTTTCTTATCTGGCAAAAATAAATGAAATTGATAAATTTTAAAAATTCATAGTTATAATTTAATAGAAAAATGTCTAAAGAATTACATTTAATATTATCAAAAGTTATAAAATCTATAAAGAATTTAAAAAATTAAATTTTTTGCAAAAGCAATTTTAATTAATAATTTATTAATAAATGAAAGTTTCAAAATTTTGCATAAAAAAATCTTCACTATTAGACACCCAGTGTTATATGTATGCATTTGCACGTGATAGCGTTAACGTTAACTCCGGCCAGTTCGTACGTATACCCAAGGAATCCAGCTAATTCTTTGTAATGTAGGCCCGGCAGGCCGTGGTAAATGCAATGTGGTACGGTAATCACGTGAATAATACGAAGTCGCGAAAAATTTTTGAAATTCGCGACGTTTTCTTTACTTGTATCGAATATCGAACACATTATATTTATATAAATCACCTCATGACAACAGCGAGCAGTTATATCTTTACGAACCCGTTATGTCCAAAGTCCATTTTTTGGACTAATTTAATGCTTTTAGGCTTCGACCCTTCGGTTCATACTTCATATTCAGCTATAGTTTTTAATAAAGACGTATTCACGAAAGGGCCAAGCTCCGTTAAAGCTATGGAACTAATAGTTTGGTTTTTATTTAATGAATTGGATAGTACGCAGACAAAGGACGTAAGCACTTCAGTATTTTTATTAGCTTTCCGATAGCAGACTATGAATATTAAATAATATAAATTATATGTAGAATTTTTTTGAATGTTGGCCGGTTACTTCTCTTGCAACTTCAGTAAAATTTCGCAACATTGCTTACAAATGGTTAGAAAAGTTAAAAAAGGAGGGATGTTTAGGATATACAGATATTATACTGAGACGAAGTGCATTTGATGAGTGTCAAGGTGAAAGGTAAATTCAAGGAAGTGTTACTCACTAGCTTCCATTTTTTTTTATTAAATATAATCTTTAATGATAGGTTTGAACGTGTTATAATGGCATTCTCGAATTATGTTATTAGAGTATCTTTAGATAGGGAATATCAAAACTATTGCCAAGGTGAGAATGAAACTTTTATTCTTTTAGGCGTAAAATGAGGAAAAAATTAATGCTTTTCTTTAATGTTCTTCATATACTTTAAAGTATTTCCTATTAATTTTAAAATTTTAAAGGAATCGGCTCCGGATTTATTAAAAACAATATTAAAGGTATTTATTTGTACTTAAGAATGCTCTTCTACCGTTTCTATTCTAATGATGGTTAAATAGGTTCATATAAAAATACAAACGGATAAATTTATAACCGAGACACAAGAACGATTAGATTGCCAAGAACGTTGGAAAAATTTAGCTAATATCCTGACAGATCGTTTACACGATATCACGGAAAGAAAAGTATTTATTTGTTTTATTCATATTTATATCAAATAATTTGTTATTTTAATTTTCAAAAAATCCTATAGAACCAATTGGAGAGAGATATATCTGAATTTTATAAAGGGAAATTGGTCCTTGAGACATTTGATAATTTATCGATAGAACAAATCTCTTTGATAAGATTACAAAAACTAGAGAATGTTCGTTTAACATGGAATCTGTGCTTGTCTTGGATTAAAAACAATCAAAATTTTATTGGTATGATGTCATGATGTTTTTTAGGTTGTGAATTGAAAATCGTAATGGAATATACATTAATAAACAAATAATAATAAATAGATAGTATTGAAGACATCATTTATGATCGTGCAAATAAGTATAGATTAGACGGACAGGAATTATTATTAGAAGTTCCTGACGTTATGATGACTATTTGGGAAAGATTTTTTCAGAAAGTACGTAATTAAATTACTTGTTATTTCTATTATTTTCAGGATTTTTAATCGTAATTTTATGAATTATTCAGGAACAAATAAATCCTTGCCAAGGGGGAAAAAAAGATCTTAAATCTTTATTAATATTATGGAGATTCTCTTTGAAAACATTAATTAAAAATAAATATGATAAATTCAAGAACGAGGATCTATCTTGCACTTTAAATAAACTTGAAGGATATCTGTCGGCACAACAGGAACAAACAAGAAGTCTTTCTTCGCTCAAAAATTTGTTGCGAACGCGTTTAAATGAAATAAATAAATCGATCAGGTCATTACGTGAAGATCTCAGGTGAATGTTATTTGTCATTCATTTTAAAAATTGATGAAATACTTTTTCAATTACGACTATTTAAAAATAATAGGTGGCCTTTGACGTTAGGTTATGACGAAGATATCGAAGGGTATATTAATATAATATGTATTTATCTTTAATTGATTGAGGTGCATAAAATTTCTAACGAACTATTATCTAAATTTAAGTCGAAAAATGTTTGTCATGCTCAAAGTACCATCTTTTAATTTTAAACACGACATATTTGATGATCAAATTGATGATAAAGTAATGGTTGAATTTAAGTTTGGAAATGGTATGCATAAATAATGGATTGTAACTTTTAACAATATCACTAATATTGTTGATTTATAATATTACAATTGAAACGTAGAATTTTCTTCAAGCTCTAAAATCGCTACAAAAAGATCTGCTCAACCGATTGAATTTAATAAACTGCAAGATACTACTCTGAAGCTTGTCGATATGGAAAGAGAACCAAAATTGATGACAAAATTATATAAGAAACATAGTTCTGCTACGAAGTTACCGGAAATGGGACCACACGATATATTAACAAGTGATATAGTCAACCATGTTGCAAATGAAGGAGATAGTCCATTAACTAATGCACCTCCCCTACAATGTTCAAAAGAAGAAGGCGTTGGGACTATACACAGTGTACATGATCCCGTGAATGCCATGGAAAAAGAAGGGTTCAAACCTAAAAAAGAAATCACGCGGACGCCACCTAAATCTGCTTTAAAATCTGAATCTGCTTCAATTTCAAGGTCAGTCCGTTCGGTTAGATTTGATATGACACAATTGATGGACGAAACGCTACCTGGAATGATTGATGAAAGCGAAAGTTATGAATGGGAATAATTGTTTTTCTAAAGTTTGTCTTAATAAGCATTTATAGAATTAAGCATTTATAGATTTCCATTTAAAACAGAAAATCGGGCTGAAATAAAATTTTATTCGGTTTCAAAAAAATGTACCAATATATATGTCGCAATTAAGAAATTAAAATAATTTAAAACAAATAATTTACATAATACTATGATTTTGCCTTTGTAGATATAAATGTGTATATAGGCATAATAATATATTTAATGTTTCAGATATCTGAATATTCTATCTCTAATAATTTATAATGCTAATTAATAATGAAAATTGACCTTAAAACGGAAAAAAAGTTCTATGTAAAAATAATCACTTAAAAAGTTTTCCCATCCAGTTTTTTATTGAATTTTTTGATGATTTTGAAGCCGTTATAGGTATTGTCGGAGTTATAGGTATTGGCTTTGGTTGTTTGGATGTCGACATCAACTTTGACGTAGATGCCGTTGATGACTTTGCGAACGAAGCCTCAAATTTTGAAAGATTACTAATTTTGTTATCCTTTTTTACCTTATCACAATTATGGTCAAGTCCCAGACGATGCTTGATACAATAATTTTTACCACAGTCTGAGCAAATCAGCGGAACAGGAGTTCTTGTTTTACATTTAACAAAAGAACACGCATTGAATGGTTTAGAAGAAGTTGTTTTTGGTGGAGGACGGCAGTCATTAGCTATATGCCAGTCCATCTATAAGAGAAAATATAAAAAGTAATTTATATTAAAATTATAAACTTATTACTTCATTAAAAACGTATATATAAACGCACTCTAATATTCGGGTCTTCTCCACGACTGACAGGAACAGGAACATTACAGACGGGACAAACAGGTACACGTTCTCCGTCACCACTTGGTGCATTTGGACAATTATGATCCTTTGTGTTCGAATGTTCGTCGCAATATTCTTGTTTACAATATTGACATTTGAAAGGAAGGTAATCCAGTTGCTTGCATGCAGGATTAGCACAATGACGGCCCAAGTCTGGTAACTCCATCCGAGTTTTTTAAACACAGTTTCTCTGAAAAGTATTTGCCAAAAAAAAAAATAAAAAAAAAAAATGTTAAAATATATTTTAAAAAAATAATGACATTTGTAATTTTCTTAAGCTTACATATACATTACAACGTAATATTTCGAGAAGTATGAAGATCTGTGAAAAGAATTCCGATCATGTGACTACATTTATTTTGGGAATTATTATCATGTGATTACTGTTACACGAAATATTAAAAATGTGGGATTTGTTACCGAAAATTTTAGCATCGAATTTAACGAAAGAAAAGCTGAAAAATGAATATAGATGTCGACCCCTCAAAGGAATTAAACGACGAAGTTCCTAATGACTCATTAACACTGGGCCAATTAAGGAAAATTGTAAAACAATTCCCAAACAAACAAAAGGTAAAAAAAAAACTTCTTTTTGTTAGTTGATTTATATTGTAGTCATTAAATTAATTACTTCTACGAATAGGCTAAAGAAATTGCCTTTATCTATGCCGATAATGATAATCTCTCCAGTGAAATAGATGAATTTTATAGTTATGTTGAAATTTCGCAATGTATTGAAAACAAAAAAGCATTTGAAGAAGGATTCGACGAATGTAAATATTTTGAAATAAATCTTTTTCATGTTCTTAAATAAGTAGTCAAATTTTTTGTTTGTATTAGCTTGGGCTACCTGTACAATATCTGAACGCCGTACTTATATCGAATACCTGTTAGAAACTTTGGAATTAAAAGATCCTGATAAGAGATTTTTAACAGCAAAAAAATTGTTATATATTGCTCAAGGTTAAATTTATGAACTTATTTTATATTCCGTTAACTTATAATTATCCAAACTCAAATTTATACCATAAATAATTTAAAAATTAGGAACATTTGGAGAATCGACGTCTCCAGAACATCACCTCGAATTGATAGTTGAAAATAATAAATTGCTACGGAAGTGTGGGGCTCTACTATCTTACTTTCAAGCCTTGAAATTGGCCTGTCGTGCACATGATCATTATAGGTTTTGTTTTCAATTTATATTTTTCCTTGACTTTAGTTATTTTCAATTAATCTTAAATCGTAATATATATATATATATAGTCGACCAGATTTCATTTCAGACCGGCAAGCTTATATTGATGATATAAATACTGAGATAGGATTCTGTTTAACATTATTATATATGTTAGTTGAAGTCCATCGCGGAGACGATTCATTTGGCTCTGAGCTTGGTTTGTTCTTAATTTGAGTGAATTTTTGTATAATAATGGTTAAGAAATCACTATTAACTCAATTAATCTCAATTAATTGAAGTTGAACTTGATCCGCCAATGTCAGTGTTCCTTTTTGAAATCATCGCATCATTGCGAGAAAAAGAAAAGAATGCCAAAGGATATCCAGTTAAAAAGGTAAATGTATGCTATTGATTATAAAAAAATGATTTTTTAAATAAAAAATTATCTAACCGATCAATGTTTTAAATAAATCTGAAGTTACTTCTTTTATCATGGAAAGTTGTTTTAGTAAGTCTTGGTGGGTCAAATGATATCCAAAAATTAAAAGATGTGGTTAGGTTAATAAATGGTTTGGCTCCTATTCATAATAAAGGTAATGTTATATATGAAATTTAATAACGTATCTGGAACTAAACTTATAGCTATTTCTTTATATTCTTTGTAGAATTCTTAATAAAAACTACTCCAATTGATTATCATACTTTTCAAAATGAAGTTACCCAAAAATATCCAACATACGTACCACCTCCTTGTCCTGTTATTCCTATGCCTCCTATTACTACTAACCAGTTTCCTTCTAATGTTAATAGTAATGATATGTCAACGCAAAATAGCTCTTCAAACAACAGCACTACAAATAGTAACTCGTCTAAATCACGTAAACAACAATTTCAAACAAATCAACGACAACCTTTTATTTTTCCATTCTCAAAATCTACACCGACAGTACCAAAATCAATACAAGAGGCGGGAGATTTGTATTTGAAGTTTATGTATACAAGTTTAGGGACTTTCCAATGTTGGAAAGAGAAAGAAGAGATGAAAAAACAACAGTTTGGTCTCACCAATAATGAGACTTTATATGATGAAAAAAATATGATTAACTGTGAAAAGGAAATGTCAACCGGAAGTGATATGGAAGCACAAGTGACAAAAAAAGATAGAGAAAAATTGGATAGGATTGAACTCCTTTATGTATCCTTTTAATTTTTAATTTTATGTATAAAACCACCAATTGTTTTACCTCCTTAATTTTATCTCTTGCAATTAGAGGTCGATTTTACCGCATATGCAAAATATTGTTATCGTGCTGCTCAAATTATTGCTTGCAACTGTTTCATCCAATCCAAATAATGTCAAAGTAAATGATAATAGTGATAACATCGCGAAGGAGAGCGCAACGAATAATGGTTCGTTTAAAAAATAGAAATGTTTTCTTGTCGCATGGGCTAATTTGTGACTTTTGAATCTATTTTAGTATGTTCATCTTCCGACGGTAATAGCGACTCTTCACCGGGCGGAAGTAGTATTGAAGAAATTGATGTTACGAGACATCGAGAAATCACATCTAAGGCTGTTTCAGCAATATTGCTGTTAATGCTAAAACATTTGAAATTGTCTCGTATCCTTTTTTTTAGTGAAATAAAAATTTCTAATAAATTAGTCAAAAGTTTTATTCTTAATAAAAAAAAATTTATAGATATTTTAAAATTTGAATATGTTTCACAATTATTAGTTGACTCTAACTGCTTGCTTTTAATTTTAAAAATGTTTGGCTTACAAGATGTAAGCTTGACTATAAAAGCTAAAAATGAAGTTGATGACTTGAAGTAAGTGTAATTGAATTAATAATGTGTTACAAATTGAATATTTAACATCATTTAAATAACGAAAAATCTTCTATTTAATAATTGTTAAGTTTCTTTCGGTATTGTTCAAATATTAACAATGATAAACATAAATCAGGAAAGACATTTGATAATAATTTATCAGACAACAAGAATATAAATATTCTTAACGACAATAAACGGATGGATGATTCAAATTTAGATGATAATAATGACAATAATGATGCCATTGTGGATTCAGATTATTGTTGGCGAAATTTTTTTTCCGCAATAAATTTCTTGCGTATTTTACAAAAATTAACCAAAAAAAAGACGCACAGAATATTATTATTGGTGCAGTATAAATCTTCTGTAAGTATTTATAATTATATAATCTACTTTAGCAATTTTTGTTTAATAATGCAGACTTGCTTCAAAATATTATAGGCTATATTAAAAAGAATTTTAAAAGTATCACATCCTTTATTAGAACTATATGCTTTGAAAGTTCTAAAGAATCAAATTCCATTTATTGGTAGAAAGTGGCGTCAAAGTATGGCCCTTTATTTATAAAATTATTATTTAATATTTTTAATTGAATATAAAAATAATATCATTTATCAACAACAGGCAATATGAAAATAATTACTTCTATATATTTGCATTGCCGGCCAGACTTACGAGACGAATGGATTGCGTCATCTGACGCAGATGCTGAAATTGAAGATGCTCTGGTTAGTAATAATACTCAATTAATCTAATTTGTTAATTTTGTTAATTGATAGCTTTTATTTAATAGCCCCAAGAACAAAACCTTCGAGCATTAATTAAGTTTTATAATGAAAGAAATTATATGACACGTGATTATCAAAATGGATTTCTTTATGATAACAGCAGGAATTCGCCTGATATATTCCCTCCATATCACACGAAACCTTTAAATTACGTAAACTCAGCTTACATTACAGATGATATCATGTTAGATGAATCGTTTTTGTCAAATTGGGAACAATGGCTTCAAGACGAAGTATACAGCTTCTCTCTCACAAAACCTCATCTAGATATTGTAGATGAATATTACAATGATGATATCTCCCTTGCTTTTCCTACTGCGGGTGATGGATCAGAATGGGATACCCCTATTACACCACCGATCGAAGGACGAGACCCTTTCACCTCGCTCGAATGGGAGAATCTTACTTCAACAGATATAAAAACATTTGAACAAAGTTTTAAAACTAACGGATACAAGTTATCTTATAACAATGATGATATAGAAAGGAAAATGGAAACTGTTACATTAGATGATGATAAAGATACAACTTATTGCTGGCCCGATGAGATCCTAGGTCCATTGGCTCCTAATGAAGTTGAAATATGGCAACCAACTCCATACCAAAGTGATGCTGAAGACTAAATTATTATAATCATTCTTTAAATTTATTTTGTATAGTTAATACTTCCTGTATAATGTTTTTCAGCAATAATAATAAAAAATATAAATGATAAATTTATAAATATTTTACAATATCTGATATCTAATTAATATACGTAAAACACTGTGTAGTAAAAATATTTTGGGCGGAATTATGACCGAAAATATTTTATGTTACAGTGCACGATGATCATTACTCCAAAAAATCAACAAAACAATGTTTCGATAATATATATAGTCTTTCTTTCGTTACTATTAATAAAGATATTTTTTTTTAATTGAAGGTATTTGAAAGTATTTGACAAGATGAGTAGTAAATCTCAAAGAAAGCTCAATTTTAATGTTGGTGAAAACTATGAGGTTCTAGATGTAGTGGGTGAAGGAGCTTATGGGGTTGTTTGGTAAGTTTAAAATCCGAGTTAAAAGTATTTGAATGAAACCTTGTTATTTAAACAAACTTTATATAATACAGTTCAGCTCTTCATAAGTCATCCGGTCAGAAAGTGGCCATTAAGAAGATAACTCCCTTTGATCATTCTATGTTCTGTCTAAGAACCCTCAGAGAAATAAAACTTTTGCGTTATTTTAACCATGAAAATGTTAGTATTTGTAAGGGGAATTTGAAATAATTAGTTAATTAAATTTCATGAGACTGATATATATTTGTTAATGATATAGATTATTGCCATTTTGGATATTGTTAAGCCCGAATCTTTGGAGAAATTTACCGAGGTGTAAGTAATTTGTCATTATTTTAAATTAAAGTAATTAAAACAAATAATTAATAATACTTTACATCTTTCTTTTGAATTGTTTATAGTTATCTCATTCAAGAACTCATGGAGACAGATATGCATCGTGTAATTCGCACTCAAGACTTAAGTGATGACCATTGTCAATATTTCATCTATCAAACCTTGCGTGCTTTGAAAGCAATGCATTCTGCTAATGTTCTTCATCGTGATTTGAAACCGAGTAATTTGTTACTTAATGCTAATTGTGACTTAAAGGTATATCAATATTTTTTTTTTCCTTAATTCTTCATGTGCATCTTCTTTTAACTATTTTTGGTGAAATAATTAGGTTTGTGATTTTGGACTCGCTCGAAGTGCAAATTCCAGTGATGAGCATAGTGGATTTATGACTGAATATGTTGCAACTCGATGGTATCGTGCTCCTGAGATCATGTTAACGTTTAAAGAATACACCAAAGCCATTGATGTATGGTCTGTTGGTTGTATCCTGGCAGAAATGTTAAGCGGAAAACCATTGTTTCCTGGAAGAGATTGTATGCTTTTTATAAAAACTTTTACTTTATCATATTCATTCTTTCTGTAATAACTTTTTTTGTATGGATAGACCACCATCAACTTACGCTTATTCTTGATGTTCTTGGTACACCAACAATGGAAGATTTCTATGGAATCAAAAGTAGAAGGGTATTTATTGTATTACTAAAGAAATAGCTTATTTATTTTATAATTAACCATTTATATATTCTTTTAGGCTAGAGACTATATTCGTTCTCTTCCGTTCAAAAAGCGTATTCCTTTCACTCATATGTTCCCTCACGCAAATCCATTGGCTCTTGACATGTTGGAAAAATTGTTGGCTTTTAATCCTACAAAGAGAATTACTGTTGAAGAAGCTTTGAAACATCCATATTTGGAGCCAGTAAGTTAAGAAAAATAGACATAATTAGTGCCATAATAACTCATACTGATGTATATAATATATGTATATTTAAAGTATCATGATCCTGATGATGAACCATCTGCTGATCCAATCCCTGAATCCTTTTTCGATTTTGATAAACATAAAGACCAATTATCAAAAGAGCAATTGAAACGTACGTATATCTTTTGTTTTTTGTTTTTTTTTTTTAAGAAAAAAAGTCATTTACTTATAAATTATTATCTAGAACTCATTTATGATGAAATTATGAGACCAATATAATATTAATGTACTAATCGGAAATCTAAAGTTATGTAAAAATTTATAATGTATGTATTGTGGATATAAATTTTATATATTTTTATTTATTTATTATTTATTTAAAGAAATCTGTTTCAATGATACATAGAATAATATATTTTCTTGAGAAATTTTTCTGGTTATAAGATTGTAATAATTACTCAGACATTTCAATATCATCATCATCGCCTAAACCGAATCTTTGAAGACAAATATTATGACCATATTCGTTAAATTCAGCACGTGTAACTAACTTTTCGTTAAATTCAGTTGAATTCGCAAATTTAGCACCTCCTTGCCACGCGTATGTGATAGGACTATTTTTTCATTAATATATATATATAATGAAGAGAAGAATATTAACTGATTCAAATGATTCAAAGAAAAAAATCGTTGGTCATGCTTACTTTTCTGACATTCCAACTCTAATTTCAAATTCCGTTGGTGCAAGAAAACGTAAATCTTTTTCACTAATAATAAATAAAAAAAGAATATAAATTTTAATAAAAAAAACACCCATAAAATTCTAACTAATCCGAGAATTCATTTACATTCTTCTTTTATATCCGGAGAATAAGGAGTTTCCGCCGACTAAGATGATGTTTCCGTAGAGTAATCCATGTAAATCTACATCATTTACAGATAAAGAAGGAAACATTTCTATTCTCAAATTGACCCAAAATACCAGAAGTCAGTTACCACCAAAAAATTCTCTCTTTTTTACGCTTTAGAACCAATGAAAAAAAAATAATAAAAAAAATTTGAATAGTCGCGATATATGATACCAGAATGAATTGCATTAATTGATTCCACTATTACTTCCGGAATTCCTGCTTGGTTCATTCCTGGAGATTAATGAATGAAGTTAATAAACTCATGTATGTACGAATCGGAATTAATGTAAATGTAATATTCATACCAACATCCATAGGATTAAATAATATTTCAGGAACAGATAACCTTTCATTGTTCATGTACAAAACTTGCTCGTCAGATTGGTCATACGTCCCTCCACGTTTCTTTTCCTGTAATTTACAAGTAAAATAAATAAACAATAAATGTAGCTTAACCATAAGGACATAAATAATATGGTACTCTTATATATCCTTTTGAATTTCTCGAAAAGTCTGGGAGAACATATTCTTGAAGAATTGGATTATCTCGTGGGTTTCTCCTAGATAATTCGATATTGGTGAACAAGATACTAGGATGTTCTAACATAAAAATATTTCGTTAACTTTACCGGCAAATCTCTAGATCCGATAAAAAATTCTGAGAAACGAAACAACAAGTTTCTTTCACTTCATTCATAATGTAGGTCTGTTCCATCATATCCCAATATCTAATCATTATGGTGTTGTAACTTGTAAGAAAACAATGTCAACATATTTCGAGTAAAAAATCTAATCTTTACCTAAATGATACAATTTCCTTTAGATGATTTGTCAATAATTTTCCTCCGATATTGATTCTGGTAATAATAATCAAAATTAAGTAAATAAATAATAAAAGTCTTGATGTGAAGTAAAGATTCACCTTCTAATAGCTGGTAATATCGGCCTTCCCATAACAAAAGGAACAATATGAGTAAAAGAGTAACCAGAATCAACTACTAATGCACAATCGGGTACTTCATTAAATTTACAGAATCTATCCTTATAAAGTGAAGTTGTATCGTTTTGAATACATAACCATGGAACTATATGTAAAGATTCGTAATGTAAAATAAAAATTTTTGTGTAAAATCCATAATTTTTTTTTAGTTTTACCATTTGTCCTATAATAGGCTTCGAATTCGTATGCTTCGAATATAACTTCATCATAATTTTGTTGAACGTTCGGTAAATTAAAACATGGCTCCGTAATTAATAGAGTAGTATTTTTCGGATCACACTAAAAAATGATAAAATTAAAAGCAACATAAATAAAAATAATGTTAATGTATCAATAACAAAACCTTACATTAAGAACATCTTTAGAAAATATTCTATCCCAAACTTCTTTTTCATTTTGCCAATTAATAAGAAATCCCTAATTATAAATAATATTGCGAAAATCAATTTCATCGTAAACTTAATGCAAATGTAATCACTTGAATGATATCATACTTTTTCGAATGGTAATTTATAATATAAACCAGTAAAATCTGTGCATGTACTTAATTGATCTCCTATATATGATCTTTTATCACCTTTCCCCCGCGTTACTATGCAATTTGGTATTATTCTATAAGAATTCAAACAAAAAACACCATTAAACGCTAAAAGGACTCATTATTTGTTAAATTTTAGCAAGTTACCTTGCTTGTGTTTCGTCAGCATAACCTGCCTTCATTGTGTATGCACCGTTATCAAGCACCAATACTTTTCTTCCCGACATTCTTCAACAAATAGAAAATTTTTTTTTTATCACAATAATTTTAACCTAGGGGGACAGAGGGGATAGATAAATACTAGATAAATAAACGGGGGATAACTCAGAGTTACACGAATAACATTTATTTTATACAGAAAGTGATAATCATGATATGACAATCACACCATGCACACCATGAATCTTATTTCAGGTACTTGAATACTATTTTTTTAAACGTTCTAAATAAAAAAAAAAGAGTGTAATTTCAACTTACTATTATCAAACATAAAACTAAGAACAAAATAACTAGTGGACCAGTGAATCCAGTGATCCAATTTGGATAAAAAGCTTCGCTTCATCGCTTGTATAGAACTAACTAGCATATACAACCTTAACTCTTGAAATCAGCTGTCTTTCTAAAAATTTTGTGAATTTTAATATGGATTTCACTTTTAACCAATTTATGTTGACTCTTAATGTGTGTAACCTTGAGTTGTCCCCCGTTTATCGGGAACTGTTATTTCTCGTGTATTTTGCCGTTAATACTTTGCCACAATGTCAAGCCTCAAAAATTTATATTTGTAAGAAAGGATCTAAAATTTCTCACAATTCTATAAATCTAAAGTAGTATCTTCTTTAAAAGCTTGTCATGGTTAAAATATGGCAAAATTTTGAGAAATGGTGGGAAGAAAACTATTGTATACAAACTACAGTGCGAATAGGAAATTATTTTCCTGTGTTATTTTTAATAATACTAGTAGGGTGGAGCTATTATGCTTTTGTTTTTAGGTTATGTATATTATTTTTATTAAATAGTTTCCCCGGACAAGGTAATTTAGGGCGTTGAAATGAGGAAGAACTGAATATACTTTGTATTAAGTTAAAAACGGATTTTTTTTTTAGGAGTTATTTATCTTTTAGTATATCATATACTTTTTATATTAATGATGTGGAGTTACTTTAAAGCTACTTTCACATCACCTGGATCCCCGACCGAAGTGAGTTAATCTTAAATTAACTTAGAGTATATGTGGTTTTGAGAAATTAAAATCGCGTAATTTAATTTCGCATCATTCATAAATATTAGACTAGAAAAATTTCAAATCTAGCAGATTCAACATCATCAACATATATACCACTTGATCAACGTCGTTCAGATTCAGGAGAAATAGCAAGTAACAATAGTCAAGAACAACAAGATGACTCCCAACGACGACGACAAACGAAAAATTTGGTTGTTTTAAATGAGAACGGGGATCCTATATCACTTGGGTATATTATGGTAAAACAAAATGGGGAAAGACGTTTTTGTAATAAATGTGATATTGATAAACCTGATAGAACTCATCATTGTAGAGTTTGCAAAAAGTATGTATAAAGGAAGGAAAAGACGCGTTAATTATTATTCAATATTAATTTTCATTTTTTGTTTTTATGTAAGATGTATTTCGAAGATGGATCAGTAAGAATTTATTCGTTTGTCTTATGTGAACTTTACGCGATAAATTGGGAAAAAATTCATTTTATTTTTATTCTTATTTAGTCATTGTCCATGGTTAAATAATTGCATAGGACATCGTAATCAAAAATATTTTTATTTATTTCTTATATGGGCAACATTATATTCATTTTTCATTTCATTAACTACATTAATTCCAGTAATTAAATATGCCCAATCAACTAGTGAGGTAAATTATTTTATTTTTAAAAATGGAAATCAAATTTAAAATTCACCTTGTAACTAACGCTTGTAATTTATTAGCCAGTAATAGAAATTGACTTAAATTGGACATTTTTAATATTACTTGGAGGAGTATTTTCATTGTGTTTAGTAGGTTTTACATTATTTCATACTAACCTTATTTTATCAAATCAGACTACTTTAGAAAGTTTACAAAAACATAATTATAAAATAAAAGAAGATGGTGATGTTACTACGAGCAAATATTTAAATTTATTTGATGTTGGTAATAAGAATAATTGGATTCAAGTTATGGGACCAAAATGGTATTTTTGGTTTATTCCCATTGGAAATTCATTTGGGGATGGAAAATCTTGGCCATTAAACTCTTATAGATATAGTACTCTATGTGATTCTGTAGAAAATTTAAATGATCCTACCCAAATAGTATAATATAGTATAATATAGTTAATTTATTTTATTGTATCACATGACTTTAAACTTTAATGTAACACAAGAAATTTTATATAAACATTTCTTTTTTTATTTAATACCACGATTCACGAACAAGTAAAACGTAAACAATGGGAAATAATAGACTGCAATATCAATTACTTCATAAAAATTCCGTACAATGGAAATCTATAAACACAAAAATGGGATTATGTAATATTTCGCGTGGTAAAGCAAAAGTTTTACAACAAAAACAATTATCACAGGAAACATTTCGTAACCTTACTCCTAGTAGGAGAAGTGAAAGAATTAAAAGTGGTCGTATTGTTAAACCAAAGATTTGTAAAATTAAAAAACCTAAAATAGGTATTAAAATTTTTAAAAATTATATATATTTTTTTCTTAAAAAAGAAAATATATATGTATAAAGTTCAAATAACATTATTTAGCACCTGATAATAAATCTACGACGAGTGTTGAACAAGTTTATCGTCAGAAATTCGAATATGTAAACCAACTCAATAATGAGATAAAAGCTGAAACACAATTAAATACTAACAAGAATGATAATAATAATAAACTTTCTCGGACAAATGAAAATAAAAGAAAAGAAGTAACTCTACCTAGGTACAGTAACTAACGAATTCAATCTTAATTCTTTTAAAAGTTATTTATTTGACAATTTAAAAATTATTTTTTTTTAGGTCTGTACCAACTTTATTGGTTGATTTGAGAAAACCTTTAAATAAATGGGATATTGGAAGTAATCCTCTTAGACAAGAATTTAATTCGGAGATAAATTCTGCTTTTAAATCGATGCGGAATATTATAGATGAAATCGAATAATAATATAAAGTACCCTATAAAATTATGCTGAATTCACATCGTTTGATCACTATTAATATTTAAACGTTAATTATAGAATAAATAAAATCTATATAAGAGCTTTTTTACAATATATTAGAGTAAGCTACTATACCAAAGGAAAAATTATGTAAATGCATTGACCCTTATAGAAGACATAGAATTTCTAAATATATGTATTGCTTTTTCGCTGTGTTCAAAATGGTTATAAAGCACATCAGATTTTATGCAATCAGTATGTAGTCATAACGTTTTACAGTAAATAATTTTTTTATCATCCTAGATATACTAATTAGTCCGCCAGTTTATAACCGGCGGAAAAAAATCCTAAAATACCAATTCACCATATTTTGGCCCAATGTACTAATACAGTCGCACCTCCATAAGTGCACCCTCTATAAGTGCATTTCCTCCCTATATGCACGCCATGGCTTGGCCCCAAGCTAAGGACTTAACACACTCTATGTTCTACACGTGCATGTAATTCTGAATTCCGGGTATATCAGAACGAGTGTCCTTAAAATAGACCGGGGTTCAGGTTCTTATCCTAGACCGCAACTGTATTAATCACGTGACGATTACTCTGAAAAAACTTATTTATATAGGGGGTTTAGGATAAAGAACCTGGACCCCGGTTCAGGATAAATTTGTCCATATCAGAACACTCTCCATAAATGCATTCACGTGATAACTATATAATATTGACCAATCATCGATAGCTGTTTGGTTCTTTAAAATAGATAAATTTGACAATTTAATAAAAAATATTTTTCAATCTTTTTTAATTTTATTAGATTATTTTACACCACAGATCATTTTTGTATGTGCAATTCTTTTATTAGAACGAAAATATAAAATAAAAGTCTAGGCGTTGGAATTGAAAATCGAATCTTTCAAGTTTCTAATCCCTAATTGGTTCAATTTGGTAAAAAAAGTAAATATCGCTACTTCCAGTTAATTATTCAATTATTCAAGTACTGAATCGTATGAATTTAAATAAATATTCCCTCAAATTACTAATATTGATTTTTCTATTGGCTGCTCTTTAAGTGCACACCCTCCCTAACTGCATGTGCATAGCCGGGCCCCAGGTGCGTGCACTTATGGAGGTGCGACTGTAAATATATTAGAAAAACCTCCTCTATAGTCACAACATATGACTTTTTTTATAATCACATCCTTTTTTTCGGTACAACCTTAATCATTTTCTTCTGGAGTAAAATTTCAATAGTTGTGTCATATATAACAAATGAGCAGTTGTTCACTCTTTATTCTACATTATAATTAGTTTTTATTACCATACAATGTAATGTGATATTGTGACAAGACCGTAAGAATTATTACGAAAAAAAAGATAATAAATATTATGTAACCGCGATTATCGAAAAAGTATTTTCTTTGTTTTAAATCTAAAATGGCATTATGACGTATTTATTACGATAGTTGTCCAGAAATATCATATAAACAAGCACGTCTCTAGTAACAGTTGATTATCCGAAGTTTAGGCGGTTACAAGATTTAAGCTTTGGTAAATTAGAGTTTTAGAGAAGTTTAAGCTTGTTAAAAATAGGTAAAGAGAGGAAAATGTCCAGTGCAAGCGTAAGTGTGATATTTTTTATTTTAAAGCACTTAATAGGATTTACACTTATTTGATACGTGTTCATTAGTCATCACAACGATGCATTCTTGCAGTTGGAAATACGGGGAATGGAAAAAGCTTTACAGCAACAATTTTTGGAGCACAAAATGTGAAAATCGGACATACAACCAAGTCTGAAACTCAAACAATTACGGTTTATGATATCAAAGGAGGTTTCTACATTGATACACCTGGGCTCGATGATTCTGATGAAGATAAGAACGATGATGAAACTGTGCGTTTGATTTATCTTAAAATGGTGGAAAAGGGTATTCGGAATTTAACAACAATCTTGTGGTTTGTAATGCCTGATGCTAGAGCGAAAGGCTCATACAAACGTCAAGCAAGATTTATAGAATCTTTGGCTAAATACCATATTGGAAAAAATGTATGGGATAATACCATTATCGTTACTAAAGGTGATAGAATTGAAAACGGCCCTCGTGATGCTGCCAATGAAATAAGAGAACATAATGATAACTTACTTTCAAACACTGGCGAATTTAATATTTTGTTGTATGAAAGTTTACTACCTACAAACGTTTATGTTCAAATGGAACTCACAAGTGAACGATTAAACACGTTTGGTGTTTTTAAAGAATCGGAACCAGAACGAATCCTCGCAAAGTACGAATCATTAATAGAGGGACATCTCGAGAATCCGGTATGTCTCAACCTTAGAAAAGTAAAGTGTTCTAAGTGTTCCGAAGAAACTGATCCAAGGTTAGCGTCTCTTAAATGTCATACGGAAATAGAGTTAATTCATCCAGCTACAGAGGATGTTCATCGTGGAAATGTAATAAAAATACATCCATCTTCCAATTATCGTAAGCATTCTGATTACTATGTTGAAGCTACAACGAGACAGGAGTTTGACGATAGTCCTCAAGCTTGGACGGTTCGTGCTTTTTCTTTTGGAGGAGTAAATCCTACTAGATCCGTATTTGTACCTGGGTACTGGAAGTGTTGTGGTAATAACGATGCTAATTCATCTGGGTGCAAGCAAGTTTATCATTGTTGCGAAAGAGATTATCAATCTTCTGGATGTCAAAAAATTTTTGATGAATGCAAACATAATTATGGCGGAACACCTTGTCTTACAATTTGTAAAGACTGTAAGGAAAGGTCTGATACAGTAGGTTGCAAGGAGAAGTGTAAGGATTGCAATAATGATAATCCACATAATACGAAAGGATGTACCCATATATCTCATAATTTCCCCAATTGAGATATTTATTGAAAATGAAGTAAATTTACATACTCTTGAAATTGAGACCTCAAGTACTTGTTATTATACAATTAGGACATTAGAATTGTATAGAATATTTTATCGCAACGAATTATTTTTTAGGAATGAGAAATATATATATAAAATAAATGATGCTTTTTTCCCTTTCTAGTGTAGTTTTATCAAAATCATGAATTAGCTGTGGTTAAATAATAAAAAATATGATTTGTTAGAAAAAAAAATTCGTGTAGAAAACATTTTCCTATTCTATATTTTTGTACATTGTTTACAATTCCATGATATATTATTTTTAATTCACTTTTTGGGTTAAAAAAAAATTGGTTACCAGTATACAATTTCAGTATACGATTATAATCCATCCTAATTCTATTCATAGTCATTATCATTATCTGTTACCAGTATTCTCTCTTACAGCTGTCTCTTATACACATCTAGATGTGTATAAGAGACAGATTATAATCCATCCTAATTCTATTCATAGTCATTATCATTATCTGTTACCAGTATTCTCTCTTACAGCATTCGATATTTTTTTTTTTTTATTTTCCGCAAATTATGAAAAAGTAATCTATATATAAAATATGAAATATGAAGAAAATTTATATAAAATATCCACCAGCCGTAGCTCCTATATAAATAAATTACTATCGTAATATACAGTACATTTTAAATATAACTTTTGAATTTAGAAGAGATAGTAATGGGAACATTTTGCCGAAAGCCATTTTGCCGAAAAATAGAGATTATTTTTCGGCGAAATGTCCCGATACCATATTAGAACCCAAATATTTAGTGTATTATTCTCATTTATAAATCTGGATAAGCCAATAAGATTATTCTATTTCAGGGCATTTTATCTAAAAAAAAAATGCAGAAGTCAGTATGACGTATTTATTACGATTGGTTATATCATACAATCATCTCTAGCAAATACCCTAATCTCTTATTATCTGCGACAAAATGTCCGGTGCAAGCGTAAGTATGATATTGTAACTTTAAAGAACCTAAATAAGAATTTATACTCAATCGATACATATTTATTAGTCATTACAACGATGCATTCTTGCAGTTGGAAATACGGGGAATGGAAAAAGCTTTACAGCAACAATTTTTGGAGCACAAAATGTGAAAATCGGACATTCGAGCAAATCAGAAACTGACACAATTACGATTTACGGTATTAAAGGAGGCTTCTACATTGATACACCTGGTTTCGATGATTCTGATGAATATAAGAATGATGACGAAACTGTACGTTCGATTTTTCGTAAGATGATGGAAGCGAAAATTCAGGATATAACAACAATCTTGTGGTTTGTAGTACCTGATGCCAGAGCGAAAGGCTCTTACAAACGTCAAGCAAGATTTATAGAATCTTTGGCTAAATACTATAAAGGAAATGTATGGGATAATACCATTATTGTTACTAAAGGTGATAAAATTGGAAACGGCCCTCGTGATGCTGCCAATGAAATAGCCTTAAGAGAACATAATAAAGATAACTTACTTTCAAACACTGGCGAATTTAAGATTTTGTTGTATGAAAGTTTACTGCCTACAGACGTTTATGTTCAAATGGGACTCACAAGTGAACGATTAAACACGTTTGGTGTTTTTAAAGGATCGGAACCGGAACGAATCCTCGCGAAGTATGAATCATTTATGGATGGACACCTTAAACATCCGATAGGTCTCAACCTTAGAGTGGTCAAGTGTTCTAAGTGTTTTGAAGAAACTGATCCAAGGTTAGCGTTTCCTGAATGTCATTTGGAAACGGAATCGTTTCATCCCAATGTAGAGGATGTTCATCGTGGAAATGTTATAGTTACACATCCATCTTCGCATTATCGTAAGCATTCTGATTACTATGTTGAAGCTACAACGAGACAGGAGTTTGACGATAGTCCTCAAGCTTGGACGGTTCGTGTCGTTACTTTTGGAATATTAAATCCTACTAGACCCGCGTTTGTATCTGGATACTGGAAGTGCTGTCATAATAAAAATGCTAATTCACCTGGATGCAAGCAAGTTTATCATTGTTGCGGAAGAGATTATCAATCACCTGGGTGTCAAAAAATTTATGATGAGTGCAAACACAAACATGGGGAGGCTCCTTGTCTTAAAATTTGTAAAAACTGTAAGAAAATATCAGATGCGGAAGGTTGCAAAACGAGGTGTAAGAATTGTAAAAATGATAATCCACGTAATACAAAAGGGTGTATCAAAGTATCTCATAATTTTCCAATTGAGTAATGATACAGTATTTTAACGAAATTTTATTTTTAGTTACGTAAAGAGAGTGTAACAAATTACAGTAGTTTATATTTTTATCATTTTTTTTGTATGGTTTTTTGGAATAATACGATTTCAGTGTGCATATAAATTGATTTTGCGAATTTAATTTAATATCGTACTATAATTAATAAAAATAAATTAATTTAAATCGCTAAGCTTAAGTGATGAGGTATCGCTGAAAAGTTTGTTCATATAAAGTAGCAAAGATGATTTATTCGAAGCGTAAATGATTTTTTTGAAAAAAAAGAAAGGCTATGTTATGTCAAATATGGAAGTATTTATTTTAGTTCGTGAACTGTTCTTATTTATAAAAAAATTTCATACTTTATTATAAATTAATATATTTACCTTTTTAGCGCACTCTAATTGATGTCGATAAATGCACTGTAGAGTTACGATCCGGATGATTAACGGATCGTCACATTTTAATAATTATGTGCAATCAATCAATAAAGGAATAATTTTTTTTCGAGATATTTTGTAAGTATATCTTAATATATAATTTAATAAACTTAAATATCTCCTTCGGAAATAAAAAAAAAAAAGAGATAAATTAGAAAACTCATCAAAAATCGGAAATATTCATCCGTATAGATAATAAAATTCAATCCGTCTGAATTATATTTCATTTTTAACATTTAGTCAATAGAATAATTCTTTTTTTGGGTCGTCCTATAATGTTAAATGTAAACCCTAATAGCAAATACATAATTTAGGAAATGTAGGCATCTCTTTCCAAAAATAGATGGGAAATATTTGAACAAATTGGCCATCCGTTAATCATCCGGATCGTAACACTAATGCACTGTAATAGTCCTTGAAATTCACATATATTTGAAACATCTTTGGATTTTTTTTTTAAGAAAAAGTATATTTTCTGTTTCGAAATTTAGTTCTAAACTTCTGATGGATTAATTTCCAGAACGCATTACAGTATAAACCTTATAAATAATGGAATTGTAAGTCAAACTTCAAAAAAGATCACATAAATTTTTTACTGATTTAACATTCCTTTTGCGATCCTTCAAGTGTGATTTATTTGTGATATTCCAATTGTGCGTGAACGGAAACTATATAACAAATAGCTGATTGTAAATGGCGCAGTAAATCACGTTAGATTTCCACAGCGACACAGCGTACCCTTCAAAAATGTCACAATATAAAAGCACGTGACTGTTTTTGTCACATCCGTCACACCCTTCCTTGTTTCCATTTTTCATAAGTATCTGAGGGACTTAGTTTTTTTCGAGTAAGTAAAAACGTATTCGTCACACCCTTATTCGTCACTGTTTATTTTCACGTGTTAGTGCATAACGCCGTAATGCCGGCCGTTTCGTGACATTTTTGAAGGGTACGCTGGGGTAATCATCACGTTATATTTTAATTTAACCTTATTTGAAATCAACATGCATGATCCGGATAATCCTTTATAAATTCTCCTCACCTACCACTGATAAATTTAAAATTATGTCATCGCAATTTTTTCCGAAATTAAGTCAAAACTATATTGAGCTGTTAAATGATGATGAATATTATGATGTTACAATTGAAGCTGGAGAAGATCCTAATGTAAATATCTTTCGTGCACATATGAATATTTTATGTTACCGTTCTCCATATTTACGACGAGCTTTAGCTTCCAATAAAAAGAATAATGATAATACCTTAGCTCATATTAAGTTATCAAATATATCACCGGAAATCCTAAAAATTATTTTGAAGTAAGTTATGGTGTAATTAACTTGTAATATTTTTAATATTTTAATTTTGCAATCTTTTTAAATTTTATAATATTCTAGGTATATTTATGGTGGTATTCTTTCATTAGATGAACAAGAAACTTCAGATATTTTAAAAGTTTTGATAGCTGCAGATGAGTTATTACTTCAAGAAATAGTTGAATATTTACAGAATTATTTAATTGAAAATAAATCGGAATGGATAGAGCAACATTTTGAACTTGTTCATCAAACAAGTTTTCAGCGTAATAATCTTTTAAAAATTCAACAATTTTGTACGAATTTAATGGCTAAATATCCAGAAAAAATATTTAAATCATTTGATTTTACTTCACTTCCCGAAAAGTCTTTAATCTTACTTATTAAGAGAAATGATTTACAAATGAATGAAATTGAAGTTTGGGAGCATGTATTAAAATGGGGTCTTGCACAAAATCCAACTCTCATTCCAGATCCTGACACTTGGACTGATGATGATTTTAAAACAGTGGAAAATACTTTAAAGCATTGTTTACCTTTAATTAGATTTTTTAGTTTATCATCTAAAGAATTTTTACAAAAAGTTCATCCTTATAAAAAACTTTTAAAGCATCAACTTTATGAGGATTTATTAAATTCCTATTTGGATCCTAATTATGAACCAAAAGATAATATTTCATTTCCTAGAAATATTAAAGTTGATGGAATTATTGATTCAAAGATTGTTAATCTAAGTATTGTTTCAACTATTTCAAGATGGATTGATAAAGTTGAAATTAATGATAAATTTTCTCAACTAAGAGAATTATATGTGCCATATAAATTTAAATTATTATTAAGAGCAAGTAAAGATGGTTTTAATCCTGGAACATTCCATACATTATGTGATGATAAAGCATATACTGTTACATTTGTTAAAATAAAAGGGACAGAAGAAATTTTAGGGGGATATAATCCTTCAACATTTATATCTTCTGATTCTTGGGGAAAAACTAAAGATAGTTTTATATTTTCCTTTAAAAATACTTATAGCTTTAAAGGTTCAATTATTAGTAAAGTAAATGATATGGATTGTGCAATAAATAATCATCATGAACATGGTCCAGGTTTTGGAAATGATCTTATATTAGATGCAGCAAAAGAATCAGTTACAGGTATTAATACAATAATTTGTAAAAAAGAATATTATGAAAAAAAGATAAGTGATACTAAAGAAGAATTTGCAATAGAAGATTATGAAGTATTTCAAATTATCAAAAGAAAAAAATAGTATCTTATATCAAGTAAATGAAATGTATTAATTTGTTTTCTATATTATATATTACTTCTATGAATAATATAATAAAGAAATAAATAATTAAATTTGAATTTGTTTTTGTTGTTATGATCTAATAACTAAAAAGTAGGTTTTCGATTTGTTTGATATTATAAATTAGTATTTTGAGTAATTTACTTTAATCATATCATAATGTAATATTATCCGATTTTTTAAATCATATAAATTGTAATCATTTTAACTACCAGTCACTACGAATTATAGATTAAATGTCATAGTATAAATACATTTGTTACTACGATTTCTTTGTGGATATTAACAGCAAAATTTTACCTGATTTTCATCATAAATTCTGGTACAGCTAAATTCAGAACAGTAGTAGAATATGCACAATTAGTAAAAAATTTTGGTACAAAAATGAATCAGAATAAATATAAAGATAAGAGTTAATCCGTATTATTTTATTTTATTTTTTATTTGATTCACTACATATTAAATTTTATTTCGTAATAGATAAATGGAATTTTCTAAAATTAAAATTAGTACAACTGAAATTCTGGCTACGGAACTATTCTATTTAAACACAACATCTTTATAAGTTTTGGTCAAAATATGAATAAGAATACTTGAGTTATTATTGATCTGAGTCTTGCAAAATGTCTCAAAAATATGAGATCAAAGAAATAATATGATGCAGAAACTTGATTAATTTAGATACTGGAAATATTATTGAACTATCATTGCTAATAATTCAAAGATATTAATAAAAGTATACAATTAAATTCAATGACTAATAAACAATTAAAACTTACATTGCATTGCCGAACTTGGATTTTGTATCCTTTCGGTTTCACAAAGTCACAAGTAAGGACTTCTTGTTCTTCCGTTAATTTTCACACCATGACTTTAATAATTCTCTCACTTCTGTTTTATAGATACCATCGTCATAATCAGCACGTCTTATTGGAAAAATGGTGATATTGATTTAATAGACTGCGTGAGTGATGAAATTTGTAATAACGATCCCATGCATAAACGTCTTGTTCTTTTATACAACTGTCTGTCAGCCTTTTCATATGATCCACAGAAATACGTATATGAACAATATAAATTAATTATTGAAACAAATCTATAAATTTTTTACGTATCTCATGCTTGGGTTTTCGTCATCTTATGAGAAAAGTATGACTATAGCTTTCCATTTTGACTAATATTATCATTCAGCTCTTATTTTAGCTAATCTCCCAGCAAAACAATTTGTATCTCTCTTTGTGGAGTTAGTTGCAATATAAAAATTTTTCTAAAAATCTTCAACTTTTACAGATGCTAAAACCATTTGTATTACAAGTAATACTTTCTTTCATGTTTTTACTTAATCAAGAGTATAATCCGAGACGTCAACATTAATTTGGTTAACGCGGAATAATTTTATCTGATAGGTGCAAATTGATCACGAATTACCCTTGGATTTAATAGAATAACAATCCAAAATATACATCTTGATTCTTAATTCGGTGTTAGAATTCATATAGAAGCAAAGATATTCATAAACTCGACTATGGCCGAGCAAAGTATATCGGAAAGCCTATTCATAATTTTTAGGAAATCCTTGTGGTGTTGCAAGTTTCAAATTGTTAAATTAACCAATAAATTTTCTTGCTGTTAAAGATGTACTTTATTTTGAATGTTGCTAATGTCTGTGAACGAGAAGTGAAATAATTCCAAAACTTTGCCATAGCCGTAATGTAGAAGCCCCCGTTTATTGTGAAGATAAATAGGAAAACTTGTATTATAATTTCAAGTTGACTTGCTTTCGTATTTACAGCTCTCGTGGTTGTTTTACATGGATCGGTTAATTTAAATTTTATTGATCAATAAGATTTGATATTTCCAAATAAAGAAAGAATTTTGTCGATTCTTTCATCTGGTATAAATTGATGATGTTTTAAACTTGATAAAATTTCACCTTCTCAGAAGTTCAAATAGTTTTTTGTAATTTAAGGGTTCGTTTAGTTAAATAACGAAATTAATTATAATTAATACTATTTAACTTTAGAAAAAGTGAGCTTTCGATTTCAAAAGTATTGAGATATCTCAATTACGTTCCATAAAATTCGACACACATGTTTATATCGAGCCCTTTTATCGAGGCGGATTTGTACTATTACAACACGACTTATAATACTTCAGTACAGAAATTAAAATTTGGATTCAAAGGGTATAATGAACATTATGAAAATTTCATCGACTCCATTAAAATATGATTTTCTTCGAAAGCATAATGGATCATCTGATGCTAGCAATGCTTATAAGTGTTAAAGAAAAAAACAGTTCAGAATTTCGCGCGAAAGAAGTGACTTTCATCGGTCAGGAAGTGAGATGCAAGTAAAGAATCAAAAATAGAATCTAAGGTTGATTCGTTAATGATTTATACTAAAATTATCCAGGTCAAATTAATTATTATTATGAATCTTTTAGGTAATTGAAATCATTTCTGAACTTTTAAACCTCACTTGCATGGATCTCGCCAATGATTGCTGATGTGGAAGCCATACCGATTTTTTCCTGCAAAGAAACACTTTTGGTTGTGAATGAAATGTGTCATCTTAAACTATTGCACGTCTTCAGACACGTTTCGAAGAATTTAGGATTTATGTAGTAGTAGGAGGCACAAACATAAAATGGTTTAGCTTGTGTGTTATTCAGGCAATTTCATTATTCAATTATCATATTTAATATTATTTAGTACCCACTATTCTGACATTCCGCTAAAATTTATTTCTTATGTGGCAAAGTAGTTTGTGCAATTGATTTGATGGCATTAACTTTATTAGCATAACTTGGAAAGTGGAACGCTATTGCCAGGCAATATTCGGCGTTTTGGTGTTAGGTTATGACGGCCCACACGCTGCATTTTTTGCTTGATTAGTTGGAATGCATTTGGAAATAAGACTTACATTGCCGTTACAAACCAAACAACATATTAAATGAGGGATACTTCACAAGCGCTCTTGGCTAATATGGCTGCTATTGTATGTCATGGACCAGAGGTATCTTAAGAACTAAATTTTTAAGACGAAATTTGATCATATTTTCTTATAATAGAAAAGTGGATAGCCATTTTCAAACATATCCATAATTTACCCAGTGCATTAACGGAAAAATTAAAAAGATGAATATTCAAACACTCTTTGATACATTGGATGTTCATATTGAAGGAAGCGTTGACGATACCATTCGAAAGCAATATCAAGTCACTAAAATCAAATCATTGTCAAGTGTTTAATTCTTATTTTACAGAAAAAAATGTTGATACTTATACCAATTGATTAAGAGATCTTTCGTTAGCTCATTATATGATACCTTTAGGTAGTTGCACTATGAAACTTTATGCTATTAAAGATAATCTCAATAATGTGACTCGAAAAACGATACAAAATTTTAATTAAAGTTAATTTTAATCAATGAGATATATTTACGTTAAGTATGTTAATGGCCGAACAAATTTTTAGGAACTTGAGCTGTTGAGCAAGACCGTAATCAGTTATATTTAATGTAGAAATTGGTTGAGCGTTTGGAATGTTAGTTGATAAATTTCGATTGAAGATATTGGAGAAACCGGCTCAATTTTTATTTAAATTTGAGAGATCGGTGATAATGATGATTCCGTTATAACGGGATTTGATGACATTTCTTTACAATATTCTGAAGCTCAAGGAAAATATGCAGGATTATGTATTATTGAAGCATATCATAAATCAAGGAAGTAATACAGGGATGGAAGCTGTACCTGTTAAATGAGAGACAGTAATCTTGATGTTTAAAGGTCTGGAAAGCTGCAAAATATATAGACGGATTTTACACCGTTTGGTTACTTGTCTTCAAATATTTGGCGTTTTTTGAAAATGAAGCTGTAATAATAATTCATCAAAGTGGGGGACAAGCTTATGCGGACACAAATTGTCCAGCCGGTATAGGAGTCATCTGAATTTACACAATTATTCTGATACATACCACTTTTTATAATTTTTTTTTTTTTTAGTATACTTCACGACCGACTACCTATTTGCGTGTTAGTAGTATTCATATTTTTTATGTCAATTCTATTATTATCTATTAATAAATATATAAATTTTGTCTCTTATTTACTAGTAAATTGCACATCTTGGTTGTGAAGTTTGGAGGGGATAAATGTATTGCATCTTTTAGTTCATCAGATATTTTATCAATTTCTTGGATATATAGGGTTGGTTATTTATTCCTTATCAATTTTAAAGAAATATTATTTTCAGATAGCAATATATTATAATTCAATTATTGAATTATTGATAAAATCTTATATACCAAATTTGTGCTCATGAATTTATTATGTCAGACAATTCAAAAAAAAACACCACCGAATTGAAGCTATAGAGGTAAATCAGGTAATTAAAAAAAAAATTATTTTTATTTTTGGGGTTAAAAAACATTTTTTTATTTTTTTTTATTTTTTATTTTTTTTTTGGATTTAAAATAATTTTTATGGATTTGGACAGTTGCAAATATATTTATGGTAGAATCTAATGAGTCAGAATCAAAAGTAGAATTTGATAGATTGGTAGAATCTGTGATGTTCAGAAAAGAAATAAGATTATTAACGGCCAAAAGGATTAAATCTTTAAAGCGAAATTAGATTTCTCGCAGAGGTATCTGAGATGATGCGAGCGAGAGATCTAAAATGATGCGGAGAGAAGATGATCCATCGCAGAGATATCTATGATGATGCGAGCGAGGGATCTACATATCATTAAGAACGTTAAAAATAGCTGAATTATTAATAATACGTAAAATTTAACCCTCAATTGAATGACTTAGTAAGTTTAATTCAGATGATTATTATTATTATTATTATTGTTTAACATAAAAAAAAATATTTTAATTTGTTTTATTAGAATTAAATTTTTTATTTAAAAACTAATAAACACTAATTCATTATTATCAGTATAATTCATATTTACACAGTATATCCTTATTATAACTTATTATCATTTCTTTAAATTATCGTGATCTGCTACTTTCATCAAACTAAAATAATTCTTTTTTCTTTTTTTTTTTGTTCATGATTGATATCTGAATATATAAATACTCATTTTCACTATACAATAAGTCACAATTGTAAATCTTCATTATTGTTAAATGTTAGTAAATGATTTTTAATTCATTTTTCTGTTTGATAATAAGCTTGTAATACTGCTATTGAATTGAGTAGTTTTCAAATTTAAATAGAGCTCTTCATAAGGGATTATTAATAAAGTGTTTTTCTGTAATCTTTCAGCTTTGTAAAATATTCCGAAATAATTCCTAATGATCCTGTCTTTTGTTACTTTGATATAAAATAATGCTGCCTGACCAGTATGTGGAAAGAAAGGAATAGCTACAAAAAAATTTATGACAAAGAACAAGCATCACATTTATAAGTCTAAAAGAACTAGCACCAAAATCAAATAATCAATCATTGATGATTGGTCTAAAAATTACGAGTCTGACAATTCGCAGAATCTTGAATCCACTAAATAAACTGAAGTAGTTAATTATCTAATGAATCACGAGCAAGTATATTATAATAACGCGTCATATCTTAAAATATCAGCAAGAATTGCATCGTGGAATCATCATTGCTGATGTATAAATTTACACAATAGATTTATCGCATTTATTGTCAATAATGCTGTTTTAATTGTTACTAAAAAATCATGTAATGATTAATGATTATAATATTTAAAGTAATTTTATTGCTCGTTGATCAAACAAATTATTTAATTCTCGGATATTTTGTTTAAATTAAAATTTGGCGTACGTAACTGAGTACGATATATATAGTAAATCCAATGACTTTTTAAGTTGTTGTTAATAATAAATCTGAATTATAAATAGATACTGTACATAAATGCTATGTGATTTAAGTGATAATCTATAAACAACAATATCAATATTAAAAAAGATTGAATTGTTATGAAAAAAAAGGCATTTAACAAAGGACCAAATAAATTAACAAGTTAAATCATATAAAGCGATCGTAAAAAGAATGAAATTACTACTTACAGGTATTATTGTTACACCTAAATCTTTGTAGTGTATTAGCACGTATCTCATGATTTTCCGGAAAAACTTCATAAAGTCATATGATAAATTGTTACAAAGCGGACATTTCAAAATAAAATTGACCGTACGGTCCCACATTTCTGAAAAAAAAAATGTCATAAGTGATTGCTTAAATGAGATCTTTGAATACTTAGAAGATGATAAGATTTCTTTACATTCATGTCTGTTAGTTAATCGACTTTGGTGTAAGACTTCCGTTAGAATTTTATGGAGAAACGTGTGGAATTTTAAATACTCTGTTTCTTGAGTAGTATGTCCTAAGACATATTAATATATTATTAATATATTAATATGTCTTAGGACATACTACTTGTTCCAGACTAATATGTCCTAGGACAATATAGTTTATTAATTAATGTCATAGGATGTTATAGTTTATTGATTAATATGTCCTAGGAAATTATAGTTTATTGATTAATATGTCCTAGGATGTTATAACTGATAATCTATTAATTTATGTATCCTAAAGATGGGGTCTGTTTTCCCTCTCTATGACCAGTTGGTTAGTAAATATAGATGAACTGTGCGCCTATTTGGTTGCCTGTTAAAATGCGTAAAAAAAAAATTGGGTCAGGTGGCGCAGTAGATTTGCGATTAATTTTGGCTGACATTATGCCATAATTCTGGCCGATCTTTAGAGCACATGATTTGAGGATCCAGCTTGACGTCATGATGGTGACTTGGTAGTATCCTGGAACTACTGTAGAGCTGTTATGGAACTGGCAGGAAGCTAGAGTGGTTTTATTAGTTTGCCAGTTTCATGCCACTTCTATGCCAGTTTGGATGCTAAGTTATTATATCCAAAGTTCTGGCCAAAATTATTGTGCCATAGTCATGTGATACCATTCTGATACCAGAAGTCCAGAACACCCTCTGCTATATAGTATTACTAATTTTGGCTGGCATTATAATGAAGCTAACTCTGACCGATTTTTTTGGACATATAATTTTTTGGAATCTAACTTGGCGCTATGGAACTGGCAAGAAGCTAGTATAGTTTTATTAATTTGCCAGTTTCAGACCACTTATATAGGACCCCGAGCTATACATATATAGGTCAGGTGAAACTAAAATTTTTTTATATTAGCTCTACATATAGGTTTTTATTATTATTAATACGCATTCTAAGAACCTAACTTTAAAATTTTATCTAAAATAAGCAAAATGATCATTTATCTTCCTCCCAAAACATCATATATCTTTTGAATAATATCCTTACAGCCAAAATAATCAAAATAATATTTTTTTTCATTACCTAATAATTTTAAAATATTTCCATCAATTGATACTCCTGATTTACCAAAATGATAAATGATATTAGATGCTAAATGATGCGTTAAAAGATTTCAACCCTTTTTCAAAATGTCACTAAACAGATCAAGATGAATAGGTAAATAAACATATAATGAAATATAAGAAATATCATTTAAATTTGTAATAGGTTCATCTTTATAACAATGGTTATTGTAACCCTCAAATTATATTGCTACAACCTTTCCTATACACATAGTTTCGCCATATAGAACAAAAACATAATCACCCTTCAATAGCGGAAATTCCTTGTATATATTTGCATTTTCAATATTGGGAACTACATGTTAAAATAATTAATTAGTTAAATTCAATGATATTATAATTACAAAAAAATTTATTAAATAAAAATAAATATATTTACTTGGAATTAATTCCAATTGAATATTTCTTTTATTTGACTTCTGTTTTTGTCTTGATTTTTTTATCTCTTCTGTATATAATTGCGCTAGTGTTAAAGATATATTTTTACGATTCTCTTTCCATCTTTTTTCTCTTTGTTTAATAAATTGCTGTTCAGGATTTTTATTCTTTGTAAAGTATGCAATGAAATGGCTAGCTTTATTAGGTTGAATAGAGTTTGATGCATCCAATCTAATTGAATTTGATGCTTTTATTTTAAATTTTCGTTTAAGAGGTTTTGAACAATATGCATCATGTGATTTACGTTGATTAAGTAAAGCTTCAAATTCAAAAGTATTTTCTGGAAAGTACTGATAATCTAAATTAACTGTCATAATTTTTAGTTTAAAATTGTAAATACTTTAAAATATAAATATCTAATACTTACCACTATCACCATTATTTAAAACTGAAAATTCATCAATAATATTGAGTTGCGTTTGACCACTCTGAAATATGTTAATAGGGGAGGAATCAATATTATCATCCAAATTATTACTATTTCAACCTATTTCTCTTGATGCAATATTTATTGAAGAAGATATGTCATCATCATTTTCTTGAATGTCTTGAATATTATGTCTATTTGAGGATGGATCTGTTTCATTATATGTATATGACATTGAAACTTCATTTTCATGTGAGCCAATCGTAATAAGTGAATTATTTATATCAATAGATAAGTTTTCAGGATTTGCAGCTGTCTCTTATACACATCTCAATAGATAAGTTTTCAGGATTTGCAGGTTGGATCATGCCAAGAAATTTTGTAAGTTCAAGTGCCAATCGATGAGAATGATGAATAGTTTGCATAATTTGTTCGTCTGTGGGCCATAATCTTAATTTTTCTAAAGACAAATCGTTTAATTTGCCTTCATTATAATCAAAAAGATACCCTATTGGAAAATAGTTATTT